AAGTTTGGGGCATATTTTCCTATTTTTTTCAATATTATAATTATTTGACTTTTTTATCTGGAAGGAAGAAGTTGGAGATGGGCTAAAGGGGGGAAATAAATGAAAGAATGAAGACCTAAATACCTAGTTCTAACAAAGGTTACCTTTGGAAGCAATGAGCAGGTGGAAAAGTAAAAGGAAAGTATAGAATCCCCACACAAAGAACCCTCACAGGCTGTAGGTTAGAAACCCATGTGAGAAGGATAGAACTGTTAAGGGTATTAAGTACATTTAGAAATTTGCATAGATTCTTGCCTATAAAATTTATTCAACAATCTTTATTATAGCCATAGGAAAAAAAATTTTTTTTAAAGATTTTATTGGGGAATTAGGGGAGGGGAACAGTGCTGGGGAATCAGGGAAGGGGAACAGACAAGTTGCTGTCCTTTTGTTCTTCAGTCTAGTCGTGGAGGACGTGGCTTCACTGGCCTATGTTGGTATTATCATTGCGCTCTTCCCAGGTGAGGCATATCGGTCGCCGGCCCCTGGACGGCCGCTCACGGAGGCTCTTGGCAGCTCACACTGGCTGCCGGTCACTTAGGCCGGCTGCCAGCCACTCACGGTAGCTCATAGCAGCCCACTGCAGCTTCACTGCAGCCTACGCTGTTGCCAGCGACTCATGGCAGCCCAGTTCCAGGTCGAGATGTTGTTCACCATCTTAGCTGTAGAGGGCGCAGCATCACTGGCCCTAAGGTGGGATCCGAATTGGGACCCTGCTGCTCAGAGCTGGCATCCCAAGCCAACTCTTAACCAACGTGCCACTCTGCCAGCCCAAAACATTTTTAAAGCAAAATTTCTCCATCCAAGGGTGTGGACGCTTACATTTAGTTGACAAATTTCCCCCCAGAAGGACTGCACCAATTTGCACTCCTACCAGTCACCAACCTTTTAAAAACAATAAGAAATATCCACAAGATTTTCTAATTTTATAAACAAAATTGTATCTTATATTCATATGCATTTTTTTGATTATTACTGATATTAAATATTACCCATATTATATTACTTAAGTGCTCAAAACAACCTTCAAAAGGTATTGTTAATCTCATTTTAGAACTGTGTAGACTGAGACTCAGAGACTTTAAAAATTTTCAGTATCACACAGCTTACAAGTGTTTGAAAGCATACATGAACATAGATATTACCTTGCCAAAAATGAATTTAAGAATGTGCATCCTATCTGCTCATCTTTTTTCATTGGAAGAGCAAATTGTTCATTCTTTCTGGATGTCAGATGTAAATAATTATGTCAAATATTTTCCACTCTTTGCAACAAACATATTCTCAGAACCCTTTTCTCCTATTCCCTTTGTGCAAAGCTTGGACTGGGAGGGATGTTGCTGGTACACTGGATTCTTGCACAGGGATGTAAGAACAGGAAATTTCAATTAGCTCATGAGAGCTTAGCTTTCTCTGGGGTTTACTTTATTTGCTTCATTTTATATTCATATGTCTTTATCCAAGCAAGTGTAAAAATGTACCAAATAATGCCATCCTATCAACCTAAATTATTTAAGATTTTTAATGCAAAAAGTTAAATACATTGTCTTCAATGTAACTCTGGAAGCTATCAGGAAAGTATGGTAGACAGTGGGAGTGACACAGTTGAACTTCCCTTTAGTATGTCTGGACCTGAAGAGTTTTCTCGTACCATCATTTCATGGACGTTAAGAGTCCAGGTTCTTAGTACTTCTATATGCTATAATATGGATGGATCTCAAAAACATTATGCTGAGTGAAAGAAGGCAGACACAGAAGGTCACCTATTGTATGATTCCATTATATGGAAAATACAGAACAGATAAATCCATAGAGACAAAAAGTAGATTAGTAGTTGCTAGGGGTTGGGGAGAGTGAGGAGTTAAGAGAAACCATCTGATGGGTAGAGGGTTTTACTATGGAGTGATGGAAATGTTTTGGAATAGATAGAGGTGGTTGTTGCATGGCATTGTGAATGTGCTCAATGCCACTGAATTGTTCAGTTTAAATTCGTTAATTTTATGTTATGTGAATTTCACCTCAAGAAGTTATTTTTTTTAATGTCCAAGTTCTCAAACTCAACAGACCTGGACTTGGATACGGACTCTATCACTTCCTAGCTGTGTGATGTTGGGCAAGTTATTCTCCTTCCCTAACCTGAACCCTAAATCTAACAACCCTTTTAACCTTAAACCCCTTTTCCCTCCAGTACCCATACAGGACTATTGTGAGAATTATATGAGATAATATACGTGCAGCCTTTGGCACAGTGGCTGACACATCATAGGTTATGAGGAAACGGTAGCTGGTACTATAGCAATATGGTAAGATAGCAAAATGGTAGCTGCTATAGCAATAGCAGTAGGAGCTGTGTTCCCGCCCAAATTCTCGATATATTCAAGTGACTACTTTCCAGTTAGAAGTCTTACTTCAGGTAATGCATTTAGGAAAAAGTCACATAACATTAACTTCAGACGTGTATTCCCTCAGTGGAGTTCTTTTAAAAGGCAAGTTTTAAATTGAAACTATTGTTAGTTAATGTCAAAATATAACCACATCTGAGAAAGTAAGGAGTAAGGGGCTGCATCCCTAAAGCACCAAACCATCAGCTTTCTCAGGAGAGTAGCAACGTGTGCTCCTTTACTGAAAAGTGACCAACCTGTGAAAAAAGTCACACACTGGGGTTCAAAAGGAAGTGTGAGAAGAAAAAAAAATGGATTTCACTTATCCTCAGAGAAGGAAAACTTTGGCAATCAGTTGAAATTTGCCATTTATCTGCAGTGGGTGGTATGTGTTGAGCAGAGGTTTGGCCTGATGGTGTTAGGGGGCCTGGGTCCTCTAGCTCTGTCAACAATGGCCTCTACGACAGCGCCTTTTGTTAATGGGATTCTTCAAAGAGCTTGCAGCGCATTTGCTGCTTTCCTGACTGACATTCTGTCACCCACACAAGCTTTGGTTTTATTTGTTCTTCTTACAGGCTTCTCAAATCAAGAGGAGGCTGGAAAAATTTTTATGAGATAGAAATGCACTGTTTTGGAGTCTTCTTGTGACTACTTAACTTGTTTTCCTGAAGGCTAATCAAATGAGATATAAAGGAAACCCAACATCAATACCATTTATTGAATGAGGCAGCAAAGGCAAATTGCACCCCCCAATGTCAGTCCAGCTTCTCCATGGAAGAGCGGAGAGTGAAAAGAGGCTGCTATGGTTGTGGAAAGTGCATGGCCTTCAACAGGAGACAGTTCAAAGGGACATGGATTTGTATCCTTGTGCTATTAATTATTAGCCATGTGACCTTGAGTAAAACCTTAGCTTTGGGGGCTTTAGTGGCCTTGTGTAAAGAATGGGACCAATAAAATCTGTTTCCAACACTCATTGAAAGTATTGCCAAGTTACCTTGCTTGTAGGGCTCAGTGCTCAGCAAGTGGCTAGCACTGCAAGGCCGTTACCCTTCTCAACACAAGTTTCAAGAGAGATGTGATGGCAGCTTTTGTCACAGACAAGCCAGAGGGTTCTGTGCAGTACTGTGGGTTAAGGAATACTTGCTGTCATGAGCGCCTGGGAGGGCAGTCACCACATTTCAGTCTCTTCCTGAAAGTCAAGGGGACATTAACCCCTGGGCAAGGCCCTACGTCCCTGCGTGGTACTCATGACACAAACGGGCAACAAAGTCCCGACACACAGGTTCAGGTAGAGTGAGTAACACAGCTTTATTTGGGAACCATGTCCCTCCAGAAGTCAATGCTCTGGTAAGCCCAGAGGGTTATACAGGATAAAATAGAATTTAATAACCAAAATCCCAGAGTCAATCGAAATGGAGAAGGTCCCTGGTCCAGGAGAGATGACTGGGCCCACGACGGGTCTGAGGCATGCTGGTCTTGCAAGGAAGACCTTCGGAGAGTCCCAGAGTACCGTGGCTTGCACCTTGCAGAAGGTCTTAGCCAGAGCGCCCAGTCAGACTACTCATGGCATTGCTCTTGAGCTCTGCTTTCATCCTCTTTTCCTTGGACTTGTTTACCTCTTAGGTGATAACCAGAAGTTGTTTTGGTGAACGTGTTTACCACTCAATTTTGTTATGCTCAGTTTCAGACATAACCATAAACATGTTATTTTCATGTATGTACTCTACACATAAACATGTTTCTTTCACTTAACTCTTATCAGTCTCACACCTACTGGTAAACAACTTGTGTTGCAAGCCTCGATCCAAAAACAACCTTGTTTATAAACAACTAGTAAACAAGCCTCAATCCAATAACAACCTTGTTTATAGTATATTTTATATGCTCTATACACTTGCCTAGTGCTTTCTGTCCATTACCTTAGTTAAATCCTCCCATCAGGTGTGTGTAGTAAACATCATATCAAGTTTACAGCTGTGGGACATAAGGCTCAGAGAAGTTACGTAGGTTTCCAAAATGGCTGCTAGAAGCTGTAGGAGCTAATAACAATGGGACTTCCACATGTAGCTTCTACCACCAAAGGCTTCAGCCAGGGCCTGACTGGTGTTTAGTTGATCCAGTTTGTTGAACTCAGTCTTGGAACTATACAGTAAACACTGAATAGTAAAATTTTGGGTTGTCTTCACCTGGGCTCAGATTTCCAGCTTCAGAAAGACGCTATGTATCTGTGGTCATTGTTCCCTTGGACCTAGCGAGTTCACTCAGTTGAGCGCTCTGCCCCTCAAGAGTCCCTGTGTCAGGACTGGCAGCTTCTGAATGGCCAGGGCACATACCAGGCATGGACGCGCAGGCCCCTGCAGGGTGGTGGGAAGGTCCGCTGGCCACTGGACAGCTGGGTGAAACGGAGTCAAGAAAAGCCACATGTGAAAATGCATTTCTTTCCAAAACGATGGAGCATCTGCAAGGGTGTAACGGGCAGTGACATTCTTGGCATTCACTGAAACCCCCCAGGCTGCGTGAGTAATTAATCTCCTAGGGTTGGTCAGTAACAGGTTTCCTGTGTTCCACCTCTTTTGACAGGCCCAGCTGTGAGATACAGTAAGTTCAAGATGTCAGAGGCCAGGCCGCCTCCCTTGCTTGGGCAGCACACAACATACATCCTGAAGGAAGTCCTCCAATATGATGACAGGGCCATCGGCGAGCTGCTCAGCACTGGAGTGGTGACCCAACATGAAGCCAAGTAACAAAGGAAAAGAGCTCTTTCTCAAAAACCACAATGTGGATGTATTTTGCTGGCAAAAGCAGTACTCCTTCTGGACCCTTCTCCCCAGTTCTGGTGCCTGCAACTGAAAAGAGGAGTTAGATAAACTCCAGGCTTCCTGACTAGTATTTGGCTTTGGTATCAATGAATCCAGTGCTTTGTGATGTATCCCACCTCTCATTCTTTACCATCCCCCCCCCCAGATAATAGATTAATTGTGGATTTGTGGGACTTTTTTGGTAGAGATTTCTTTTCTGTAAAATTACATTTCTCATTCTAATTACACTAATAGCCTGAACATTTTCCCTCTTCAGCCCATGAAGTTCTGAAAAAGAGCAGATCTCTTGACATTCTTTACTTGCACATAAAGTCCTCATTTAAACCTTTGTTAGAAAGTCAAAGCAATAAGCAGAATGACAGTCTCAGTGATTGATTTTAAACAGAATAACTTAATTTTGAGCTCATGAGCCCTTTGTTAATCTTTAATTTAAACCATGGACTTTGCAGATGGCCATTATAAAACTGAGCTCCATTCTCCCCCATGGGAGTAAATATTTGCTTTATGCTGTATTTCTCTGACTATTTCATGATACGTATCAGAACATTAATTTCCACCAATGAATTCTGGGGTGTAGGTATCTATCTGCATTAGGGGGGTGAAGAGTGGTTCTTTAATCAATACCTTATTTGAGCCAAGTGCAAATGCAACAAATTTTTTATATGAGTATCAGATGACTATCTAAGTTTTAAATAATATATAAATAATGAAAAATAGAATGAAATGAAAACAGTTTGTGGTATTATGGGTACCCACTATTGAAGAATGCATCATGCTTTGATACTAAATATTTGTATTTAAGCACTTCAGTATTTGTCAATGAATTCAAGAATAGAAAACATCTTCTGTTCAGAAGATGGTAACTGAATTGTATAGATGTTCCAGAATACACTGGTCAGACTGCCTATCACCCACACCCGGGAGACCAAGGAATCAGATCACTCCCACAATCAGTGTCCTGATATGATTGATCTCAATCCACGGCTGTTAGGCACACACATATTTTAAAGTCATGTCATTCTATACCAAGTGGTAATGGAAAGTTAAGTTACAGATAGCTCTTTCAAACTGTGATTTACAGCTAGTTTCCTTTCTGTGTTCTTTTTTTATGGGAATGATTTCAGGCATTTATCCATGCTGTAAGCCCAAAATGTGTCTAGAATCAAGGATTCCAAATAAAAAGGAGATGTCTTCTTACAAGGCCTCATGGGACTTTTTAGAAGAATGCCTACTAATTCTTGAAACAGCTATTGTCCTCCCTGTTTTGTGCATTGTGCACATCTTATTCTGAAGAACTCCTGCTGTTATTCCACTAGTTAGGATTTCATCATATAAGGGTAATTGTTGCCTTCTGCAGGACTTTTCCCCCATGGATAATTCATAGATATATATTTGGAGACATTCACTTCAGGCCAGACATCTAAATAAAATTCCTTCATGTATATAAAACTAGAAATGAAAAATGATAAAAGGCTGAAACTACATATCTTGAAAGAGAGATCCACCATTTTTTCTACTGATCCAAGTAGATATCTTGAAATGCAAATTACTTGGTTACTGAGCAGTGACCCTAAATATATGGGTAACCATATGTAGGAGGATACTGATCATTTAGAGAGGGTCACAAAATGCTTCTAAAACCTTGAGCTCAATCAAAAGTGCAGTATTCCTACATAGCAGAGTCACATTTGGAGACTGTCTCCAGTGTAATCACGTGTGTAGCTATCCAGATTTCCACCTACACAACTCATAATGATTCAGGAGAACTTTGAACCTGTTCATCATCCAGCAGAAAGCATTTACTCTCATGATTTAGTGAGAGATATAATTCAGAATATGTTTCAAGTTCAGATAGATGATTAGTCCTGAAAGAAACATGGTGCTTGCTAAAATTTCTAGCAATATGCCCAGATCAGGTCATGCTTATAAACAAATGTGCTGTTTTAATTATCAGGGCCGACTAGCTCACACATTCCCTAAGCTGAACACACTACTAAGACACCATATACTTAAGTTCAGTTTGTGTCAAGGCTTGCCTTCTGGCAGGTTTGTGTCTGAGACTGGCCTAGAAAAGTCTTTGAGACTTAGTGGCTTAATTATTGTGGAAGTGAGGGTGTGTCCACAGCAACTAGGCTTCTCTCCCTTGATTTTTCTCTGAAACTTTTTGCTGCCATAGTTCTCTGGTTACTCAAGCATGATATTCTCCAACATACAGTCTGATATGCTGAATGTTTCTCTAGAAGAAGAGAAATGAGTATTAACCAACTTCGTGTGACTACCCCAGTGTTCGTTTGTCTTCCATCCATGTACAAAGGAGGTCTTACATAGGCTATTTCAGGCTGGCTCATTCAGCTACTGAACCTAGATAGCCCACAATGAGAGCTTTTCCATGAAGACTTCATGATCCCTGTTTGTAGCCTTCTTCAGGGAAATTCACGCCCACTCCTATCCCACCTGAATTTGATTTCACCACTGACTCTTTTGTCCTGTGATATTGGCATGTTGTCTACTTAAAAAGCTTTATAGATGTGAGTCTTGCTTGTCACTCTCCCACATGGCTCAATGCTGCCTTCATCCATAGGACCCGTTCTCCAGATAATGGACCTAAAGGTGTGAGAAAGAACCCCAGCTTGGGGCTGAACACACTGTCCAGATCTTCTGCCTCTCCTCTGACTGCTTACCTTTGATCCCCAACTGACAAAGGAGAAAGGTGGAAAAAGGGCAGCTTCCTCACTCACCATGTATGCCCTGAACCTGGGATGTTCATTTTCATACTCGTCCCCCAAGATTATGATATTCTTCCTGCATTTGCTTCTATTCTTAGGAGGCTGCCTGCTGTAGGGAGCCCTCACCATTGGTGAGATTCCTGAGACATGATGGGCCTAAGAAACAGTTGTTAACCTTGATTGTAGTATCAATGATCCTGAAGAGGCCAGAATACCAAGCTGTCTTCTCTTCCTTCTTGATTTTTGTGGTACAGTATTGTTTGAAAAGGAGAATGAAAAGATTCAGAAAAAAAAATGCATATTTCCATTTCAAATAGCAATTGGGAAAACAACACATCACAGAGTCTCTTATATTGAGGTGTTGATGTTTTCTCAGACATCAGGATAAAATTTTATTTCTTTTTACAATCCTAATATAGCAATACCAAGATTAAATGTTTTGTAAATTTCTACTCTCATAAGATGCTTAGTTTCTTTATGTAGCTATACCAAGCTATCTTCTGAGCCAGAGGACCATGAACTTTTAAACCAGCCTGGCTGTACTCAGGACAGGCTTATGTGGTGTGATTAGTGGGGTATAAGCAACTCCAATAGACATGTTTCCCTTAACACCCATTCAAAAACATGTGTTCCATTATCACTCTAGGAAGTTAAAGTATTATAGACAAATGAATGCAAATTCTTTGCACTCATACACTTAATTCCACACACTAGGGAGAAAAAGTACAAAAAGGAAAGTTTTGAAGATATGAGAGTTGGAATAGGTAAATTTGATTAGCAGGAGAGGAAAAGAGCACGCCCAGGTCAGGCAGGCCTGTGGGTGTATTTGCTCTGGAGACTGGCAACCCCACAGCAGTGTGAGCCCAGCCTGATGTGTCAGTCCCAAGAGCGAGAGGCAGGCACTGGGAATAGCTCAAACACTGCCCAGGAGACAGACTTCACCCATTGCAAAGTTTTTCCTGAGAAGTAGCTATTTTTTCCTATACCTTAAGACTTTCGAATAAAAGGGACTACCCAACCTTCTGCCCCTTTGCAACATTCTTCATAAGAGGCTGTGGTAGCAGAATAATGGCCCATCAAGATTCCCATGTTGTAATTTCCAGGACCTGTGACTATGTTACCTTATATGGCAAGAGGGAATTAAGGTTGCTAATCAGTTTACCATAAAATAAAGATTATCCTGGATTATGCAGGTGGGCTCAATAAAAACAGAGGGGTACTTTAAGTGTGGAAAAGTAAATGTCAGAGTTATGTCACCTGAAAAGGACTTCACTGACCAACCATTACTTGCTGGCTTTGACAATGGAAGTGAACCAAGAAAGGTAGGCACCTTCTAGAACAGCGGTTCTCAACCTGTGGGTCACAACCCCTTTGGAGGTCGAATGACCCTTTCGCAGAGGTCACCTAGACTATCGGAAAACAAAAAGATATTTACATTACAATTCATAACAGTAGCAAAATTACAGTTATAGAGTAGCAATGAAAATAATTTTATGGTTGGGGGTCNTTATAGAGTAGCAATGAAAATAATTTTATGGTTGGGGGTCACCACAACATGAGGAACTGTATTAAGGGGTCGCAGCATTAGGAAGGTTGAGAACTGCTGTTCTAGAAGATGGAAAAGGCAAGACCAATGGCCTGTCCAAAAAACCCTCCATAAGGAATGCAGTCCTGCTTGATTTTAGACTGATGAAACCTATTTTGCACACATTATTGACTTTTGACCTCCAGACCTTTAAGATAATAATTTTTTGTTGTTTTAAGCCACTAAATTTGTGATAATTTTTCACAGCACCAACAAGAACTAACACAAAGGCTGATCTGCCTTCGAAAGTCTGAAGTGACAGTAAAATCACTGCTTTGCAAAGTGACCAGTTGATACCTCCTTTCTTTTTTTCTTTTTTCCTTGTATTTTTTTAGCCTACTTACTTCCCTACCTCCCCCCCCAATCCTTTGAACCTCCATTCTCCTCCTCTCTTTCTCAGTGATAATAATTTTTACCCTCCCTTTTCCTTTTATCTTCCTCTCTCTCTTCCTCCACTTCTATCTCACCTTTCTCTCATTCACTCTACATGCACTCACACAGTTACATATTCATGTGACACAAACATGGATAACAAAACCTGCCACGGACCTCAGAAATAGGGTTTGCCCAGTAACTTGGAAGATAACTAGTGGTAAGTCTGGCCATGACTTCACCTCCACAAGCAATTTTGAATTAATCTCTGGGTGGAGTGGTTAAATATAATGGCTGCCCCTTCTTCTCTCTTGAAACTTGGGAAAGACATGACAGAATGCCATAATGCCTCTCCGAGCAGAGGCAGAGACCCCCATTCTAAGAAAAAAACTAAAATAAATAAAATGTAATGCAGAGCACAGTCCAGGCTCTAATGGCCAGGGCCTTGCTGCTGTGATTACCATGCTTTCATTAGAGAAAAGGGGGTGGGCATCATGGTCAATGGTTCTGCTTCAGCCCTAAGCTTTGGCCTCTGCTTCTTGTTCCTTCTTAGAGAAGGCAGGCTTATGCAGACTTCAGTGGTGATTACTAGTTTGTCCCTAAGCCATTTTAGTCAAATGGCCTCCAGAAGGATGGGGCCTTCTCCTCTCCATTGGTTTTGCCATCTGTTAAAAAGGGTGACTGGGTCCTTACAGCTCTCTATGCTTTCTTCTTTCAACAGGATGAAAAACACTTTGACACATTCCCACCCCCCCACACACACATTCTTTTTCTTGCAAATTAACCACATGACAGTCTGTTCAACTCAACTCTTTTTTCATTGGCTCCTGACCACATAGATTGGAGGCACAGTGCTTTCCTGCTCCTCACCATGTCACCCGCACCTTTTCCTCTCACCCAGAAGTTTTGCACAAGTGCTCACCATAAAGTAAGACACTCAGCTTCAGAACACACAACCGAGATGTTGGGATGAAAGAAATTAATACAAAACGGCCACAGGAAAATATCTCTCTTTCCGCCCCTTTACCTCTTTGTGAACCTTAAGGAAATTTTCGGACTTCCATAGCACCTCTTAGTATGAGACATGGCAACATGTGTAACACACATTCGCCCTGACAGTCTTGAATTTATTTTAGATTTTACAAAGAACTTCCTGACTGTTCTTGATAGATGCTTTGAAATGCACTATTAATGGACATTACTGTGTACTTTCTTTGGAGAGGGTAAAGAAAATTGTAGCATCCATTTTGGGGGGGAATGTTTAAAAATCATTAGTTCTGGGAATAGAAAAATGGACTATATTTCCCTGTCTAGGATTGCCCTTACATATAGCGAACATGTTTGCAATGGCATTGCCACAGACAAAAGGGAAGGACAGAAATTCAAAGACCCACAGGTCACCTCTGGCAACAGTACCCCGTGATCTAGGACCCTGAGAATCTTCTCAGCCTGATTTGCTGAACTGTGCAAGGGGAAAGGTCTGAAGCAACAGCAAAACTAAAGTGTCCCATTCT